AACCGGAGGTTGCCTCCTGGATGCCACGGTAATACGCCACATGCACGTGTCCGTGCGCTCCCCGACGTTCACATCAAGTCATTTTTTAAATACTAGTAATCTGTTATTTCTTTATTAGCTTTGCGACAATGATGTGAAACAAATTTGATTTGCCCCTCGTGGGTCCTGATGATGACGAGTCACCTGTCGGTCTGTATAACTTCATGTTTTCTCCTCTTGTTTTGTTTGTGAAAAGTGTGAACAGGAAGTAAAATGCAACAACGTATCAATTTTTTTTGTCCCCCTGAGAGGCAAAATGTGTCTCTGTGTGCAGAAGTGAAGGCAGAAGAAAGATGCAAGGAAGGAAACAAGAGGGAGGATGTCAGGCAGGCAGAGGATACAATTTATGAGGAGCAAGTAGAGGGGGGGGTAAGAGACATGATAGAACAAAGTAAGCAGGGAAGGACAAATACGCTGTTGGGAGGATACAAACAATGATCAATGGAGAAGTGCAGAGACCAAAGTCAAGAGCATGTGGATGAGAGGAAGCATGGAGACGGGGAATAACACAGAGACAAATCTCACCTTGTAGAAAATATTGAGACTTAAAAATAGTATATTAGTTTATTATAAGTCATTTGTCGATTTTAAATGATAGTTTAAACTAAAGGCTCAATAACTAAGTCATATGATTGATTCTCATATTTGTACACTTAATATGACTCCAGGCTGTTCTCATACAGCGTTCGTAGCTATACCTACGAAATCTAAAGCGCTGGAATTCATAGATATCCTATTAATATATTCGTATATAATCCACGTATTTATTAAAGTTTAAAGGCCGAAAAAACCCACACAGGGCAACCAAAACCAGGTCTATTACCCAGGAGACTAACTAAGTATTTCACCATCTTTACTTAAACCTAAATAAGTACATCACGATATTTTCCTAAACCTAACTAAGTAGTTTTGTTGCATGAACTTAACTAAGTTGTTTCCTGTGAGGACGAAAGTTTATGTTTAGCAGAGTGCTGCTGGACTTTCGTAGGAAAAATGAGGAGTAACTTTTTGTAAGATATCATACGAACCGTCGTGTGAGGATATGTTGAAAAATACATCTAACTACATCAACCTTAATATTTTATTTTCTTGAGGGTAGCTTAACTGATAATAATGTAGGTCAGGCATGTATAAGCATTATGCTTCTGCCTTTTCATTCATATTACTAGATTGTATGTGGGCTATATTTATTGTATTGTGTGTGAAGGCCGAGTAAAAAAACAACCCACTACTCTACATATCTATTATCATCCTCCTCTTCCTCTCCGTCCTCCTCCTCTCATTAGACTTCCGCTCCATATACAGCCTCCCCTCCCCTCCCTTCCAGCTCCATATCTCTCCCCCACCTCCCTTCCTGTGGGTAATGAATGAAGGAGCTCCTCCCGCTGGACAGAAGTAGGTCTCGGGAGGAGTTGGCGGGGGGGGTGAACGGGGACGACACAGAACTGGCAAGAGGAGATACGGTCTGATGGATGTTCGAAGAGGAGCGGTGGAGGAAGAAGAAAAAAGCGAGGGAGGAAGAAGAGAGAAGGAGCGATGACGATTCCTTTCCGTCTGGCTTCTCGATGATGATGAAGGCCATTACTCACACTAAAGAGTGCCGGTCTGCTCGCTCTCTTTTTGTTGCTCCTTGTTCACCCTCTCTGTCTGACCGTCATCCTTCTCTTTTCTTTTTAGTAGTTTTTAATGACAGTTAAATAAGTGTCAAATGTGAGTTGTGATATACTAAATCACAAACATCTGCATCTGTTCACCAGAATGGTTACGGGCTTTAAATGATGCCTCAGTGGATCTAAAGTCTTTTATTTTATTATTATCTCCGCCAGGTGAGTCAGTCTATGCGTGCGTGAGTGTGCATCTCCGTGTCTGTCCACAACTTATCTCTTATTCTGCTGCAGCAAACTGCATAATGTTTTGGGTGGCCGGTTACGAACCTCTCGTGGTTGCGGTGACGCTCACTTTCTCAAAGCCATCGACTGCCTGCCGACCGTTTGAAGTCACATCCGAACGTAGCTACTGCATACTGATACTCAATCAGTATGTACGGAACACTACCTACTAACAGAATGATTGATTATTCACCAGTGGACTGTTCACACTGAAGCATGCTGAAGGGACGGCCGGGCCCTCTAAAGTCAACTCCGCCAGCGGCTACGTCACTTAAAACTTCGCAGTAGATTTTCGATAAACTGATCACATATTTGGAATCTAAACATTTACTTTCACGCCTGAAAACATATTAAACCATAATAAAGTGACTTGAAGCCTCAATAAACGCCCGTGAAGCTGCAAATGCCATTGTCACTATTTAAGAGAAGTGTTTACAGGCTGTTGGGTCATCTCTTTGGGAGTGGATATTCAGTGTTTATTAAAATGTCTCTTCTCATACACGTCGGTCCCTGGATTATAATGAATCTGCCCGCTGAATCGTTACCTGCACTATTAGTGGAGGTGTTGATTTACTGTATGCTATAATGTTAAGGGTTGTGCAGCCAGCAGGGAAATCTGCTCTGCTCTCCAGTCATAAGTGCAACATTACACATCGGCACAACAGTAATGATTGAGGTAGAACTGAGTTCAGGAGCGGCGGCTGGTGTGTGTTACTGGGGATCCTGTTTAATTTTACACACAACATTACCAACGTTAAAGCAACACAATCCTCTTCATTTCCATGTCCAGACTGTTTTTATTTTTATTTTGAAGGAGTGGATCTGGTCTGCTCTGCCTTTGTCGAGGTTAGAAGGAGTAATAAAGTTTGATGTCTTGGTTGTACACTATAGTGTACATTTAGAATGTGTCCGTTCCGCACAGCGTAATTGGTCGATGCCTTTGTTTGTCGTGTGAAAGCTGCTAAAAAAAAACAACAGAATTACGCCTTTTTTTCTGAAAAGAACCAACAATTCAAAAAAATATCTTGACATCCAAATGAATTGCAGGAAGGAAAACGCCCCTGTGGTGTGTAAAGTCCTTACGTTTAGCATAATTAATGATTGATCCAATATTTACTCAACTAATTACAGAAATGATGCCCCCCCCCTCTCGTCCACATTCATTCATCGTCAAAAGAGAGACAGAGAGCATTTCCACACCTCTCCCAACTCAATCTCAATTAATGAATGGGAAGGCGAGCCGTAAATTTGGGTTATTAAAATGGCCTCAGCGCTCCATTGAGTCTAGAAGTATGTGTGTAATTAGCAAATGAGCAAATACACTGGAGCGGAGAAATGGAGTTGTTTTCAATTAAGGCCTACAAAGCAGAACGCACTTAGCTGGTGGACCAGCCACGACTTGATAGGTCTGCTTGGTGCTTAAATTGACAGGAGGAGAACCCATTACAGCAGCAGGCGAAGAAGTGAATATAGTTATGAACCTGCGTCCGTCACTTATTGTCACGCAAAGGTGTTCTGGGAGCTGGTCTTTGTGTCATTAATGAGGAAGAACATTAGGTATTGAGCTACAAGAGTGCGAGCAAGTTGCATTTGTGTGTATGACATTTCAGCATACATAATCCCATTAAATGCAGTCAGTTATGTGAGTGGAACGTTTGGCAGCAGTTCTGTGTTTTTCCCTGTTGAAAATCAGCCAAAGCCTTTGTTGTGGAGTTGGCTCAGTCAGAGCATGAATGAATGGATTAGATATGAGCCTAAGTCACACAAAAGAGAGAGAGAGAGAGAGAGAGAGAGAGAGAGAGAGAGAGAGAGGTTGTGTTTCCTGGTTGTGACTTTATTAAAGTCCATTTTAATTCCCCGCACAAAGCCGTGATACACAAAGAGAAGCTTTACATCTTATGGGGCAAGAAAGCGACAACCTACGGGTCTAAAAAAATGAAGCGAAAGTTGAAATGTGTTGCAATGTGAAGCTGCATTCTCTCTACTGACCACCAGGGGGCGACTCCTCTGGTTGTATAGAAGTCTATGAGAAAATGACTCTACTTCTCTCTTGATTTATTACCTCAGTAAACATTGTAAACATGAGTTTATGGTCTCAATCTCTAGTTTCAAGTCTTCTTCAATACAGCATGATGTTCATTTAGTACATTATGGTCCATTTAGAGTCAAACAGACCATAAAGCAGGGTATGCTTTAGGGCGGGGCTACACAGTGATTGACAGGTCTCTACCAGAGCGTTGTCTGGTTATCGTCTTACAACCCTTTCATTGTGTTTTCATGTGAAGACAGAGAGAAATTGAGTCCGAGAGGAATAAAAACACAGATAAATATGACAGAATCTCACTAATGGAGTCGGTTGCGTCACAAAAACAAAATTACCGCAGAAAAAAACACCACAGCAACCAGGACTCTACACAGCCAATGCTGGTAGAAATAATATATGGAATGTAATTACCATATTAAGATATGTTGTTGACAGAGGGGTGAAGTGCCACATTGTGCAGAATGTTAAAGAGAATATGGTGATACCACTTTTACACTTGGGGGCTGAAAGGCAATAAAAAACCTAAGTGCTCCTTTTAATCAAAAGAACGACATCTGTTTGCCTTTAGATGCTTACAAGCTTCTACACTTTATGTTTGCTGTTAATTTAGGTTAAATTTGTGCTCATTATGTGAAATGCCATGTAATGCCTTCTACTTAATCTTGTGTTTTCATACCATTCTATCCCGAGCCTATTATAAATATAATGTTATTCATTTATAAATCTGTTGGTCTGTGCTGTTGAAATCTTGCTCTGTGCAGCACTTTGGGCTGTGAGATTGTATGAAAGCTGTCATATAAATAATGTTGGGTTGAGTTTGTAAATAATCTCTGATAACAGATTCACGTGTCGGTAACGGGACAGGGTTTTGGTCATCGGGAGCGTTCTGGTTTCTGTTTCTAGTCACACACGTCGTCTCTAAACTCAAACTCCAGACTGCGTTTTCTACGTTGTGATTTACGATTTTACTACCCGACCTCTTATTCAGCACCTTGACCATAACGTTTTCTGCTTCTTGTGTGTTCCAGCTGCGTCCGGGCGAAGCCTTCACTGTGTATCACACCAGTCCTACACTGTCCAGTCTGTCCAAACCAGTGGTGCTGTGGACTCAGCAGGACGTCTGCAAGTGGCTTAAGAAACACTGTCCTCACAACTACCTGACCTACGTAGAGGCCTTCTCCCATCACGCCATCACAGGTACAGTAAGACGTTGTAGCGTCACTGAGATCCTACATGTCTGATAGTGATTATTTTGTTGAAATGAAAAAGCTAATTTGCACTTTTGCAACTGTTAAACGTGCAGAAATGGAGTTGTTGAAGCAGACCTTGTCCATTGACCTCTGCTCCTTTTAATAAGCCCAGCAGTGAAGACTAAGACATTGCAGAACCGAATGCCATAAAAGGCTTAGCAAATGTCACACAAAGTTGTATTTTTAGGTTCGTGGTTCCACGGCTTAGCTTTTTCAACTGGAAACAGGTTTACACTCAAATCTCTTCCAAAAGGAGATTTAAAAGGCTTTCATTCATGTGAGGTAACGGAAAAGGAGTGCGGCCTATTTTTGGAGTAGAAAGGGGGAAGCTGCAGGAAAATAATGGTGGGTTATCGTGTATCGAGCTCAAACAACACCTCCACCCACACACACACAAGCACATGTGCACAAAAACCCAACAGACACGCATGCACAGGTACGTGCAAATGTGCACACATTTATTCACACGCATTGGCCGACCAGACGGCAGAGCGGTTTCTTTTTTAGCTTCTTACAGAGAACAGATTGCTGTTCTGCGCCGTGGGGTCAACCAACACTCGCTTACATTTGCACGCACACACACACACACACACACACACACACACTGTCTTCAGGGTTAACAATGCTGCCAGCGTCACAGTTACAGCAGCTCTGATCTGATCATTTTTATTTATGTATTCTCAAACTGAGAGAGAGGCAGAGAGGCTTAGATCCAATTGTCATCATGCATTCACTTGTCCAGCTGGATTTCATTTTCCCGGAGTTATTAGCTCCTGCGTTTTGTTGTGCAAATGTCGGGTGAATATGTCGCTGATGCATACACGGCATACAATGAACAGAAGGATGTTGGATCTCACCAACAGCCGAGAAATGAATTCCGAGTCCCTATCATCTTAGTTCAGTGACCCAAAAGTAATTGCGTCTCTCTCAGCGAAGGCGCAATTACAGTGCAACAAGCTGCCTGAGGAGATGAGTGTAGCTTCTTCAGCGTCGCTTGATTTCTCATGTGTGTTTTCCCTGTGTGTGTGTGTGTGTGTGTGTGTGTGTGCGTGTGTGTGTGTGTGTGCGTGTGTGAAGATTCGTGCTTCCATCTTCTGTCGGACTTTTATTAATTTCATCGCGGCCGTTTTTTATTATCCCGCCTGTTTTATTGTTGGTGGGAGTAGACAAGATTTAGATACGGTGAGAAATAGATTGTCGGACTTTGTGTGCAGTGTGATTATGATTCTGTTCCCCCACACTGTGATGTATGTGGAGCTGGTGATGAATTGAGTTCCCTATATCACACACTGTGATTGCTTCTAGGTTGACGGGCACGCCTGATCTGGCTTTTTGTGTGCAGCAGAATCCCTTCCTCATTTTTGAGGCATTTGCACTTTATTTGAATAATTGAGTTTGAGCAACTTTACTTTATTCTTCTTGTCAGAGAGAAAAGTACTTCACTATTTACTTGACAGCTGTAGTTAATAGTTATTTGCCGATTAAGGTTTTTCATGCTGAATATAAGCTGTGATTGCTTGTAAATACTCTACAGAATCATATATCATCTGTGTGGTGAAGCCGTTTGTTTCTGAAAGGGGCTTTTCAGCGTAATAACTACTTTTAAGACGCTGTCTTCCTTATCACAAAGCATTTTTTGGGGTATTCGTTCCAGCAGTAATGCGTCAGATGACACTCAATAGAGTGCTAGAAGGGTGATGTATTTCTGTAGGCCAACCGTAGAAGTTAGCATCAAAAAAACAATCAAAAAAACAATGAAAAGCCAATGAGATTTATCTATTAGATTTTAGATACTTGCAGAAAATTGCCTCTGTTGCAAAACAAGTCGACCACGTTTTGTTCATCAAGACAATGAACAAAAAAATGAACACAAGTTTTATGATATTGTTGAACATTACGACTATAAAGGAGCTCCACCACGGTCACATGACTTCACGTCTCCTCCACCAAGCTAAAGGAGGACGAGTGTTCTAGTGAGGACGTTTAGCCTCCTTTACACTCTTTTTTAAAGACACGTAAAGAAGATTCTAAACTCACCAAAGGGGTTTTTACTGACCTGTTATATATCGTAGAACTAAACGTTAAACACAGACTTTATTTCAGGCAAAAAACACATTCAAATATCACATTGACTTTGATACGAGGGAGCAGGAAGTGCAAAAAATGCTGACTCATTTCTGGGTTTCAGGACTCATTCCTGCAGCGCTCTATATTGGCAGATTGTAAAAGTTTAATAACCCGGCAGTGAACACGGTGGTGTCGGTGGGATTTAGTGACCAAGACTCTGTTTTCACCCGGTTTCAATACTGTGACCTGTAACTCGATCCGTTCTCAGAATAATGACACCCGATGACACGTCGTCCATCCGAACCAGGTGCTTTTATATTTTATGATTTTATTTTGTTGTCGTCAACATGTCGGTCGGCGAGGCTCGGATCCTTCCTCAGGATTTAGATTTAGTGTTTACAGACGTCAAAAAAAAAGATAAGCTAGACCACCTCCAGATGTGAGGCCTTGCAGACCGGATTATATTCCAGCTGCTGCATGAATTCACACCTTGCAGTGATATTCTTTCCTTATCGCGGTCGTATATGTGGATGCAGGTCAGAATGTTCGTGTGAATTGCAGTTGAAGCAGACAGGATGGAGACTGTAGAAGGAGCCGACAGAACAAAAGAATAGCGGATATTAATAAATGTGACTCCTGGCTGCACTTACCTTGGTGCTGCTGTGTGTACACAAGGTGAGAGACATGTAATACAGCACAGGCCTTCAGGGGGCCGCGTGGACTAAATTGCTCTGCCATCTAAAGGTTGTCCTTTCATAAGGAAGTCTTTACCTTCCTCTCCCCTTCGGATTGCTTTTCAGACGCTTTTCTAAGTGTCATTATTGCCCTATAGCCTATAGAACTGCCTCCCACTTGCCCACAGACGTTGTTAATAAGCAATTTATTTCGAAGCCAAATTGAGAGAAACAATCTCCATTGAAACGGCTTTTGTTTTCGTTGTGTCTTTTCTCTCTTTGACAGCCCTACTTTCCCTATCTGCGGGCAATTATTAGGAGCTGTATTAAGCCTGTCTGAGGGGAATTGATTTGAGCTCCATTCATCTGCTGTGTCTCGTTTGTGTACGCACACACACACACACACACACACACACACACACACACACACACACAC